TGAATAAAGGCAGATTTGTTTTTTTTTTTCCAATCTTGATGTCCTTTCTTGCCCGATTGTGCAGTCTAGAATCTCCTTACAATGTTGGATAAAGACATCCCTATTTGTTCCTGATGTTAGGGGGAAAGTACTTTCACAATTAAGTAGGATGTTAGCTCTAGGATTTTTGTAGATGTCCTTTATCAAATTGTGGAAGTTCCCTTTATTCCTAGTTTCCCTGAGTTTTTCCCCGAAATAGATGGTGGATTTTGTCAAATGATTTTCTCGTATTGATTGAGATGATTATGTGAATGCTAATCCACCCTGAATTCCTATGATAAATCCCATGACCATGATATATTATCCTTTCATTATGCCATAGGATTCGATTTACAAAACTTTCCTTAGAATTATTGTACCTATGTTTATGTGGAATTGTTTTGCAGCTTTTCATGTAATGTTTGTCTGGCTGAGGTACCAGGATAATTTTGGTGACAGTACGCTGGCTCAGAATGAACTGGAAAGTATTCCCACTTTGATTTTTTTGAAGTCTGTGTAGAATTGGTATTATTTCTTCCTGAAGTGTTTGGTAAACCTCACCACTAATGCCACCTGGGCCTGGATTTTTGTTATAGGAAGTTTTATTTTTTTATTTTTTTTATTTTTATAGGAAGTTTTTAAAACTGCAATTTCAACTTCTTTTGTAGGGCTGTTCAGGTTATCTATTTCTTTTTTAGTGAGCTTTGGTAATTTGTATCTTTCAAGGAATTTGTTGGTTTCTTCAAGGATGTTGAATTTATTGGCAAAAAGGTGCTTCTAATATTCCCTTTAACATCTGTAGGACCTGTAGTGATGTTACTTCTCTCAGTCCTTACATTATCTTTTTTCACTCCCTACTGTGGCTGGAGACTTGCCAATTTTATTGGTCTTTCCCCCCAAGAACAAGCTTTTGGTTTCATGGATTGTTCTCTATCGTTTTTGTCTTTTATTTCATTGATTGCCACTTTGATCTTGATCTTTATTATTCCTTTTCTTCTGCTTACCTTGTATCTAATTTCTTCTTTTTCTCGTTTCTTAAAGTGGAAACTCAGGTCACTGATTTGAGACCTTCCTTCCCAATATAAGTACTTAATACTACAAGTTTCCCTCCAAGTACTGCTTTAGTGCAACCTACAATTTCTTTTTTTTTTTTAAGATTTTATTTATTCATAGAGACAGAGAGAGAGAGGCAGAGACACAGGCAGAGGGAGAAGTAGGCATCATACAGAGAGCCTGATGTGGGACTCGATCCACGGTCTCCAGGATCACGCCCTGGGCTGCAGGCAGCGCTAGACTGCTGCGCCACCGGGGCTGCCCGCAACCTACAATTTTTTACTCCAAATTACTTTCTTAATTTCCCTTTAGATTTCTGGGACTCATTAGTTTCCAAATATTTGAGGATTGTCAAGGATCTTTTTGTTATTGATTTCTAACATAATTCCTTGTAGCCAAAGAATATACTTGGTATGATGAATACTTTCAAATTTGAGATTTTTTTAACGGGCTATAATGTGGTCTACCTTCATAAATATTCCATGTGCACTTTCGTGTTCTGCTGTGGCAGGGTGAAATGTTCTATAAATATTGACCAGGTCAAATTGGCTGTTACTGTTCAAATATACTATCTTTTTGTTCTCCCAACTTGCTCTCAGTTTATAAAGGAAGTACTAAAATCTTTGATAATTGTGTATTTGTCCATTTTTTCCTTGCAGTGAGGTTTTCCTATCATTTAGGATTGCCATCAGCTACTCATTAACTGACCCCATTATCAGTATGAAATAATCTTTAATTGCTGTTAATAGTCTTTGCTCTAAAATCGATTTTGTTCTTAATATGCTCATTCCAGCTTTCTTTTGATGTTAGCATGGGTTACCTTTTTTTTTTCTATCCTTTTACTTTTAACCTACTTGTATCTTTAAAGTACATTTCTTGAAGGCACACTGCTTTTTTTAAATCCAATCTGGCAATCTCTGGCTTTCAATTGGGATGTCTAGACTATTTACATTTAATGTGACTATTGATATGGTTAGGTTTGAGTCTGTCATCTTGCTATTTATTTTCTATTTATCCCATCTGTTCTCTACCCTTTTATCTCTTTTCCTGTCATTTTTTGGATTAATCCACTGTCTTTTTTTTTTTTTACTTATGATAGTCACAGAGAGAGAGAGGCAGAGACACAGGCAGAGGGAGAAGCAGGCTCCATGCACCGGGAGCCCGATGTGGGATTCGATCCCGGGTCTCCAGGATCGTGCCCCGGGCCAAAGACAGGCACCAAACCGCTGCGCCACCCAGGGATCCCTAACCCACTGTCTTTATTCCATTTTCTCTGTTAGTTTCACAGCTATAATCCTTGGTTATGTTAGTGGTTGCTTTAGGGTTTGTAGTATACATCTGTACTTAGCACAGTCTACATTTAAATAATGGTAACTCATTTCAGATATGGTACAAGAACCTAACGAAAAGTATGCTTACTTACAGTCTATTTCCCTGCTGTTAAGCTATTCTTGTCATCCATTTTGCTTTTACGTTAAGTCCACACCACTTTTCTGTAATTTGTTTAGACAATTAAGTATTAGAGGTTTAAATAATAATAAATCATACATTTACCCATTGTTACTATTTCCAGTGCTTTGTGTAGATCTAGATTTCCATCCGCTATCATTTTCCTTCTGCCTGAAGAGCTTTTTCTCATAATGAACATCTGGTGATAAGTCTTTTGCAAGTCTGAAAACACCCCTTTTCCTTCCTATTATTCTTTTCTCAGTGGTACCTAGCCTGCCGTTATGTAAGCCAAACCACTGAACTTTCAATTAGTGTTCCTTATTCCTAGATTTCCATTTGGTATTTTTACAATCATGCTCTTTAATCTCCCTTATTTTGGTATCCCTGGGTGGCACAGCGGTTTAGCGCCTGCCTTTGGCCCAGGGCGTGATCCTGGAGGCCCGGGATCGAATCCCACGTCGGGCTCCCGGTGCATGGAGCCTGCTTCTCCCTCTGCCTGTGTCTCTGCTTCTCTATCTGTGTGACTATCATAAATAAATAAAAATTAAAAAAAAATCTCCCTTATTTCTTTAAATATAAAACATAATTATATTATGTCTGGTAAGTCTTAATAGCTTAAGTCTTTGTAGGTCTGCTTCTTCTGTCCACTGTTTCTGCTGGCTCTCATCTATCTATGTGTTTTTGATTTTTGACTGCCAACTTCTATTCCTTGAAACTGTTTGAGTTCTTCCAAAGACAATACGTTTTGCTTCCGTCGGTTACCTGGAAGGCCCTAAAGACCTGATATCACTTTAAATTTTCAGCGTGAGATTGTTTTAAGACTACCCAGACTGTTCAAACAAACCAGCTTCAGAGCTGTTGTGGCAAATATGTATATATTCTCAGGGGAGATGGAGATGTATTCTCTCAGGATTGGCAATCTTCCTTGCTACCTGGGGGAGTGAGGGAGGACAAAGGGAGATTGGAGAGGGAAGAGGCAGGCAGATTTGTTCATAGTTCGACCTTACACTAAGCCTATCTTTTTGAGGTCTCAGCTTTATGAGGTCTCTATCCCTCTCACCTTGGGCAGGCCCTCAGCTTTGTCTGCTATGCTAATGTCTCTTCCCCAACCCACATGATGAAAAATAAAGTTCAGTTTGATACTTGGCAAATGTCCTAAGGGTAAAGGTGGCACGACTGTCCTAATTATCTCTGTGTTTCTACTATGGAAGTAGCATTAAAGCGTTTTGAGACTTGTTATTTTGCAGTTCACTGATCCATTTTAAAAAATGGTTCTTGGGGGATCCCTGGGTGGCGCAGCAGTTTAGCGCCTGCCTTTGGCCCAGGGCGCGATCCTGGAGTCCCGGGATCGAGTCCCAAGTCAGGCTCCCTGCATGGAGCCTTTTTCTCCCTCCTCCTGTGTCTCTGACTCTGTCTATCACGAATGAATAAATAAATAAATCTTTTTTTTTTTTTTATGATAGGCACACAGTGAGAGAGAGAGAGAGGCAGAGACACAGGCAGAGGGAGAAGCAGGCTCCATGCACCAGGAGCTCGACGTGGGATTCGATCCCGGGTCTCCAGGATCGCGCCCCGGGGCCAAAGGCAGGCACCAAACCGCTGCGCCACCCAGGGATCCCCTAAATAAATAAATCTTTAAAAAAAAAAAATGGTTCTTGAGGGGCAGTCCAGGTGGCTCAGCAGTTTAGTGCCGCCTTCAGCCCAGGGCCTGGTCCTGGAGACCGGGGATCGAGTCCCATGTCTCGCTCCCTGCATGGAGCCTGCTTCTCCCTCAGCCTGTGTCTCTATCTCTCTCTCTGTTTCTCTCATGAATAAATAAAATCTTTAAAAAAAAATGGTTCTTGATACATATTCCAGACGTTTTAGTTGTTTTCAGCCACTGTGCTAGAAAAAAAAAATCTTTCAACTTGTTTACAATATACAGTATCCAAATATCCTTCCTTGATCCAGATGTGAGGGTGAGAACACACACTTAGGAACCAGTTGGCCTGAGGTCAGGTCTCAGACCCACAAGCAGTGTGACCTTGGTAGCTAATTTATAGTCTGTGCTGTTGTTCCTCATAGGGTTGATGCAAGAAATAAACAAGGTAAAATACAATCAGCACTTAAAGCAGGGGCTTGCTCTGAGAAGTATGATATAAGGACTTCTTTTTTTATTATTATGTGAAAAACTTGTAATCACATGCTGGAGTAACAGCAGATGTCTGCCCAATGGTCTAAGAGCACCTATTCCCTGGCCATCCTAGTCCACTCTACCGTGTAGTAACCCACACCTCTTTACTTATATTGACAGTGACCAGGGGTAATCAACCATGAGCTACTCACTGGATGTCAGTCCCAGGTACACTCAAAGGATGGGCCCTAAGTCAAGAGCAGAATGCTAATGGATGTGGATGCTGATCTAAGAAAGGCCATCATCATACAAACCTGAGTGAACACCATCAACAAAATCTGAAAGCAAGTATAAACAGAAACAAACATGATTTTAAGTTTTATATTTTTTATGGTGGACAGTCATCATTTGCCCCAACAGCCATCTGAAGCCAATAGTCCTGATTATTAAAAATCACAAAGTTGTATAAATGCTCTCCTCCTTTTCGAAAACCATGTTCATTTTCTCTCCACGAAACAGGACTGTCTGCAAAGCCTTGTACTGACAACGTAACCCAAGGAGCCAACTTTGGTTCATCAAAGTAGTGACTGAAAAAGAAAGATAAATCTTAATAAACAGGGAGGGCTAGGAATGTTCACACTTTTTTTTACTTATTTAGGATAAGTGGTATTTCTGATGTTCCCATGAAGCTTAGACCTTAGCTTTTATCTATAAAAATTAAGAGATACCAATTACATTCCTGATCCTATGTAGTGTATTCAATAAACGTTAACAATTACAGGATGCATAGAACCAACTTTAGCAGTTCCTATGCTTACTGTGCAGCATCATGTAAGATTCAAAAAGATGAAAAAACCCCAAACCACAAAGTATAGTAACAGCTTCCCTCCATTTAACAGTGTTGTTTAATCTCTGTTAACTGAAACACTGCAGAATAATTTATTGGATTTTTTTTTTAAGATTTTATTTATTTATTCTTGAGAGACACAGAGAGAGAGGCGGAGACACAGGCAGAGGGAGAAGCAGGCTCCATTCAGGGAGCCCGATGCAGGACTCGATCCCAGGACCTCAGGATTACATCCTGGGCTGAAGGCAGGCACTAAACCACTGAGCCACCCAGGCGTCCCTAATTTATTGGATTTTTTAAAAAAAATCCTTCTTACTGAGGAAATGAAAGTCCTACACTAATAAATGAAAAAAGGTACTGGGCTTAAAAAAAGAAAAGACTTGGGACGCCTGGGTGGCTCAGCAGTTGAGCGTCTGTCTGCCTTCGGCTCAGGGTGTGATCCTGAAGGCCTGGGATGGGGTCCCACATCGGGTCCCCCGCAGGGAGCCTACTTCTCCTTCTGCCCGTGTCTCTGCCGTGCTTCAGCTAGCAATTTTTTTTTTCGCAATTCCACAGGAAGTGGTTTATTGCTTTTAGAACAAAATAAGATGCTATTAAAACTTTTGTTAAGTGAAGAGAAACTGTTAGAACATGAAAACTTTTCTAAAACGGTATTTTTGTCAGCTGACAGATGTAGGCACTTCAACAGAGAAAACTTCTCGCCTGTAAAAACTGTGTGCACCCTAAGCAAACCACCTAGAAGCAGGGCTTGCACTTGCGGCCGGTGTACTGGGTGTCAGGTCTGACCTCCTTGCCCCGCCGCCTACGGCGCTCCTTCTTCTCCAGCACCCACTCTGTGTGTCTCATGAATAAATAAATAAAATATTTAAAAACAACAACAACAAAGAAAAGACTTCTTACACATTTAAAAAGTGAAGACTGATGGGCACCTGGGTGGCTCAGCTAGTTAAGTGCCCAACTTTTTTTTTTTTTTTTTTAAGGTTTTACTTATTTATTCCTGAGAGACACAGAGAGAGGCAGAGACACGGGCAGAGGGAGAAGCAGGCTCCCTGCAGGGAGCCTGATGCGGGACTTGATCCCAGGACCCCAGGATCACGCCCTGAGCCCAAGGCAGATGCTCAACCACTGAGCCACCCAGATTCCTTAGTGCCCAAACTCTTGATCTCAGCTCAGGTCTTGATCTCAGGGTCAGGAGTTCAAGCCCGCTGTTGGACAAGGAAAGGAAAGGAAAGGAAAAAGGAAAGAAAGGAAAAAGGAAAGGAGAAAGGAAAGGAAAGGAAAGGAAAGGAAAGGAAAGGAAAGGAAAGGAAAGGAAAGGAAAGGAAAGGAAAGGAGGAGAGGGAGGGAGGGAGGGAGGGAGGGAGGGAGGGAGGGAGGGAGGAAGGAAGGAAGGAAGGAAGGAAGGAAGGAAGGAAGGAAGGAAAAGGTGAAGACTGAGAAGGCATTATGCTTGCTTCACAGTCTTTTCAGCATGGGATCCGGAGTCTTCTGACATTCGATACAATGTAGCATTTTATTTACAGAGTACCTCCTCCTCAGATTAAAAAAACCCTACTGCCCTGTCCAATCCCTGACATGTTAATGCCGCCCAGCGCTTCCCAGGATCTCAGGGCCAGAACAGATGTTAAACATGATCTGGATTCAAAAACGGCCAAGTTGTTTTTAAAATAAAACACGTGCGGAACTCTAACATCTACCACAGATCATGACGTGTCCAAGAGTACTGCTATTTCCTTAAGTGATACTATAACTTCTGGAGCAGGCAAGAAAAACGAACAGCCTGTTTTCAAGAAGCTTAAACTCTACTCTTGGTCTTTTCCTAAGGACGTGCATTTGGCAATACAATTTCCCATCACCGAAGATAACATCTTTCGGGATGATGCTGTTACCACACCGCGAGCCCAAGCAAGGAAGAGAGGCGAAAGGTGTGTGCCAGAGCCCTGCGGTGTGGAACAGGAGCACCGCCCTCGGATGCCACGCTGGCACAGACCAGCAAGAGATAAAAGACCAAAAGCGCTCTCACCACAGCTGTTCCAAGAGGAGGCAGATCTTCTCCGGAAGTATGAAACCAGTGATCGTACACAAATAAGCTCTTGCCACCACTGTGCTTGGCTGAGGACAGCAGTAGGTCGATACGAAGCTATTAGGCTCGTTGGTGCTGTCACATGCACACACAAAGAGAAAGAAAGAACACACATTGGCATCTCCCGCGTGATTCCTCCGCAAGGTACAAACCCCTGTGAAGGGCAAGAGGCCGGGCCAGGAGCTCTACGCACAGATCTGCGCGACTGAAGACGGCGCCCAGCCAGTCCAGAAGCTCGGGGGCGCTGCAGGCCGCCTCTGGCTCTCCCCGGAGCGCCCCGCTCCGCAGCACCGGGCACTGCAGCTCTGTCACTGTGCTCAGGGCTATTTTTGGTTGAAGCTCCTGAATCCGGTAATTGGAAAAGTATGACATCATAGTTGATTCTTCTGCACCTAAAACACACCATGTAAGGTAATCTGAATCCTGAAGACAAGCTCAGGGAATCCCTGAAGCTGCTCCATCCCCCTGCGGCAGTGCTGGGGAGCAGGTGGGGTTAAATAAAAGAGAAGCGAGTTGTGCAAAGCTGTATTCAAATTAAAAATCATTCAGGTTCCTCTGGCTCCCTGAGCCCAAATTCTGTAAACATTCATTTTCTTTCAGTTTTCCTGGAAAAGCATAATCCTTTCAGATTCAACCCTTATTAGTTTCGTCATTTGCTCTAATAGGAAAATTCTGACTTACTGAATAAAAAAAGCACTAACTCGTGTATAAATAAAATTAGTGAACTCTACAGAGAGAGTTTATTTGCATAATCTCTGTAAAGGAAGCACAAGAGGAACTGAATGACAGCAGAATCTCGTTTAAGCTGGTCTTTAAAAACCCAGTAAAATCCAACGTATCCTCAAGGCTATTCCAAGAGCCTTGGATGACAGGAATGGTGGTCCCCTTGGGAGCAACGGGCAGGCTTGCTTGGTGTCCAGTGCAATAGAAATCATCTGCTTTCCCCACCCCTCCTCCACCTCAGAGCAAAGGGCAGCGGGCTCACTGGCCAGGATAAACGCCTAGAGTTCCTTTTAAGCTCAGCATCCCTCTCCTGCAGGGCGGCCCCTGCACGTGCGGTAACCCCCGGCCCACTGCCTATCACCCTGCAGGGAGCGGGAGCTGCTGCACTGATGCGAGTGCTTCCCTCTGGCCACTGCCACTGCTGAGTAATTAAATCCCATTTGTGTCTCCTGCCAGCATCCAGGAAACTGCAGCCTAACTTCTTGGCTTACAAGTGGAGGAAATCTCACCCGTTCCCCAGTGGCTGACAAGCCTTTAAAATAACTGGAGCCTTAGGAACACAGAGCTCTCCAGAGCCCAATGCACACGTGATCCTCAATGAAGACTTCATGCACCTGAAATGTCAGTCTGTGCCCTCCTGTACCTCTATCCTCAGTAGGAGAAGCAATGAGATGTTACAGACTGAAGATTCATGCAAGCAACCTAGAGCCCCCAGTGACCAGAAACCCCCCCTGGAGAGCAGATGGATACGTGTAGCTCCCAAATGGACCTATGTGTCCTCCCTATTCCCCAGGAAAGAGCACTACGCCATCACAGCTCTGATGATCTGACTCAATGCAATCTTGCGACGGACCAGAGACCCATTCTACAAGGAGCAAGGCGCACGGCAGTTGTCAGCACATCAGCACGTGTGGTGACCACACAACTCACGTGATTTAACGTTCTAGTAGGTTCCAAGTTACAACAAATTTAATCTGAAGTTTAATAGTTTGCCTGATTTTTACCCTGTAATAATCAACATGTTGTGTTACTTTAAAACACAAAGCCAAGGCTGTTTGAGGTAAGATGCAAGAAGGGAGGGGGGAAGAAATAGAAGTTGGCTGCTCTGAAGCCCGTGTCAAGATCTCTGGATGGACACAAACCCAAGGAAATGGAGGTAGATGGCCGCATGCCCAGATCCTCCTGAACTATGGCTCCGGGGGAAAGCAGGGGTCCCGAAGCAGCTTCCCGAATAATGATTATGCACACAGGTACACAATACCCTAGACCCCAGAGACGAACCACGATTCAGTCCTCCACAACTCCCCTTTAATTAACAATTAGATTTCCAAATCATTGTACTGGTACACAATTTACATACCTGTATGATGCCAAGCCAAAAGAAAATCAAATTTCAAGGGCTTCTTTTCCTTGAAGGACCAAGATATTCTTTCGTACTTCTTAGAATTTGGGTTAAAGGATAAATCCATCAAATCAATGGAAACAACTTAAAAAAAAAAACGGAAAGAGGAAGAAATAGTTCATTCGTATACACGCAGCCTGCACTGTGGAAAAAGTCCGATAGTAAGAGGCATCAGCATTTTTAGAAATTTTATGAATAGGGGCAGCCCGGGTGGCTCAGTGGTTTAGCACCGCCTTCGGCCCAGGGTGTGATCCCGGGGTCCTGGCATCGAGTCCCATGTCGGGCTCCCTGCATGGAGTCTGCTTCTGCCTCTGCCTGTGTCTCTGCCTCTCTCTCTGTGTCTCTCATGAATAAATAAATAAAATCTTAAAAAAAAAAAAAAAGAAATTTTATGAATAGCAAAAATTACCTTGCTCTTCTGGCACTCCTTTGGTTTACCAAACCAAAACTCTGCCTTTCACAGGCATTTCTAGCATTGGCAATTAGTAACAAGAGATGTTTTAAATTCATACTTTTTCTAGGTCACAGCCCAAGAGGAGAGGCCCTTGGAAAGTCAAGCCTAATCTGCGGACGTGACAGCCGCTGTCATTCATGTTCAGGCCGGACACTCCACACAACTGTACCACCTCACTCACAGGGGTGCCTCCTCTAGTATCACAGAAACTGGGTGAAAGTAAATTCTTCACGAAGAACAAGTTGTAGGCTCTTATCTTGGGTTCATCAGTTTGAATTTTTGACCCAAATCCTACATATTTAATGGGCCACTCCGATTCCGTGATCCTTAGAAGATGCAGCCCACAGCCGAGGAGAATCAGAAGCAACAGCAATCTTACTCTCTCCAAAGCTCAGCCCAGAGCCCCACGGGTCAGAAGTCTTAAAGCCAAGAAAAAGGCATGTTCCTTCTGAACAAGGGAATGATGGCAATTCTAACATTTAAACTTCAATTGCTACAGGAAGATTACTGACTTGTTAGAGACCGATGGGAGCATAATACTTACTAAATTTCATGACTTTTCTGCCAGAATATTGAGATGGACGACCTTGAAGGCCAGTTTCTTCATAAGTGTCTTTATCCAGTGATAAAATTAATTTCCCTATAAATCAAATAATTTCCATAAAAGAGATGTTAAAAGTATGACATGTTCTCTCACTCAAAGAAAGCACAGCCAGTTGAGCAGTTAGATAGGAGCAAAATAAATTACAAAGATCTTCTTTATGACACAAGGACGTTAATACATATGTCTTATTTATGTCCAGAGATATTTTAATATGTTGTACATACAAGGACATTATTTATGACAGTGAAAACAGACATTATCTAAATTTCTGTTAAAGAAAGAACGGTTACACAAATCATGGTATTCCCCTTCAGATATCTTCGAAATCTTAAAAATAGTTAAGTCAGAACTATATGCCCTGATAGGGAAAGATGTCTATGACATATTGAGAAAAAAGAAAATTGAGAAACAACGCAGTAGAATGTAATTTATGTTAAAAAAAAAAAAAAACAAGCTTTATGTGTGTTTATAAATTCATAGAAAATGTGAAAAAGAATAAACACCAGCCGTTAACAGCAGTTCATTCTAAGAAGGCGAGTGAATCTGGAGATTTGACTTTTTTTTTTTTTCTGTATGGTATTTAACAGTAAAGAAAAAAAGAAGCGTTGTTACCGTTTGGCAGCAGGGCAACAGTATTATCTTCATCGATATTTGTGTTGTGTGTTAGTGCATAGCACGAACCTGTAAGAGAAAGGCCAGATGAGAAATTAAGACAAGAAAAAAAAAAAATCACACCTGCAAAAAGGTAGTGGATTCTCTTCACACGGTAACGTATCTTCCTGGTGAGTAAGGGTCGGTATCCACCACTGCTCCAGCTCGCTCAGTAAGCCTAAAACCCGCCCAGGGCGAGCTAGAGGACACAGAGGCCGTGCTCCAGCTCGCTCACGCCCCCACCCAGGGCCCACCTGTGCCAGGTGACCACCACGGAGCAGAGAATGGACTCAGGGCATAGTGTGTGCCTCCGGGGAGGCTGGCGGTGAGGCACAAAGGAGAATACTAGGTCAGTGCACACCCCTGAGACGACGGGTTCCAGGGAAAGACTCAAAACGTGCCAGGACCTTGTGTGACATTAGGAAAGCCGTTCAGTCTCTGTGAGCCTCACTTTTCCTCACCTGTCAAATGGGGATCGTGGGCCTACTTCATAGAGGTGTTTCAAGAGTTCAACTGGTTAAGATATGTAAACGCCCCCGTTACAGCCAGTGGCCACATTATGAACAAAGTAGGACCAAACTTCAAGAGATGAAAGGACTACAGCTGACGGGAACCAAGACCACACAGGGCCAGCAGCACCCGAATGAGAGGAACTGCATGTAACTGGGTTCTTCACAGCTCCGTCTACAACAAGAGAAGGGGCGGGCTTACTCACAGGTGCAGTGAAGGGAGAATCCCTAATGACAGCCTGAAATATGGTTTCAAACTAGCGACCCCTAGGAAACAAGTGGAACGAAGCAACCAACCCAGCAGGTACGAATGGATGTGGGGTGAGCAGAGAGGGTCAGAGCCACAAAATCATAATGAGCACACGGCCTGGTAAACGGCCGCTATGGTGACATCAGGGGATGAACTTTTTGAGACGGCTGAGGGGAGAGTGCTGGGAACATAGTAGTCTCTGTGGCCACACACCCAACAGCAGTGTATTCGAACACACAGATCCCGGGGCACCTGGGTGGCTCAGTGGTTGAGCATCTGCCTTCGGCTAGGATCTGATCCCAGGATCCCAGGATCGAGGCCCAGCATCAGGTCCCTGAGTGGAGCCTGCTTCTCCTTCTGCCTGTGTCTCTGCCTCTCTCTCTGTGTGTGTCTCTCATGAATAAATAAAATTAAAAAAAAAGAAAGAAAGAAAAAGAAAACACAGATCCCAAGACTCTCTCCTCTCCCTGAATCCTTGTTATGTTGCATCCCCAGGCCACACGTGGACAAGTGTCGTCAGAAACCACCATCTAAAGGGACCATGAGAAGCAGCAGGGTGAGGATGCTGAGGGAGGGGGAGTGATGCATGCACGTGGCCACACAGACTATCTCCAAAGGCCCTGGTTAGGACAAGAGAAGAACCCTAGTGTTGTGATGTAATCTAACTATACTTCCTCAGTCTTGCCACGTTCACAGACAAGGTTCTTCTTACCTTTCTTCACAAAGGTGTTGATGAATTCCTGTGTAATCAACTCATGAAGAGGTAAGTTCTTCACGAAGTAATAGGGTCCAGTTTCCATGACGAGGTTCTTCAGTTCTTTCGATAGTATCCCACACTCAGGAATCAGAAACGAGACCTATTGGAATGTGTCACGTAAGTCTTATTTTCAAGGAGATCAACCTCCAGCTTTTTAAGGATGTTATAACCTATGTAGGCTGCTAACTAGTCCCCCCACAGGTTTCTATAAAACCCTAAAGTTAATTTACCCGTCTTAGGAGAAGAGAAATCTGACAATTCACGTTTTTCATTTTCTGTATTCAAACATTATAGGAAAGCGAACAAGCAAAAAAAAAAAATGTTATTAACGGAAAGCTCTTGCTTGCATTTCATCTTTTGCAAATAAGCACTATGTTTTATGTCCTGCCCACTGCTCTAATTAATTTTTAGGGAAATACGGTACAATGGAATAACCCTGGATTTTTTTTTTATCCTGGTACCAGGCTGGAATCAAGAGGACGGTCCCTTAGGACAGAAGGAAATTAAAGACATCCATCAGTAAGAGGCTCCTGGGAAGCAGAAGTGCTTCTGGCTGTTTCCGCTTTCTAGGCAGGTGTGCGGGGGCGGGGCAAGGTACCCCGGGCTGCGGCTGCGGCCAGAGACCCGCTCTCCCCTCCCCCCGCAGAGGAGCTGCACCCAAACTGTTTCAAGTGTTGCCCGAAACGGTTTCAAGGGCTGCCCGGTGCTCCAGACCTTGGAAAGCCCTCTCCCAAAGCTCAAACATCAGTCGATTCCTGAGACACGGGGTCACCACCTGGGTCTCTGGGAAACAGCCGGTCAAGCCTTGGTGGACAGGAGGCTGATGAATTCAAAATGTTAAAGGCAGGGCAGGCCGGGTGGCTCAGCGGTTAGCGCCGCCTCCAGCCCATGGCGTGACCCTGGAGACCCAGGATCCAGTCCCACGGCGGGCTCCCTGCATGGAGCCTGCTTCTCCCTCTGCCTGTGTCTCTGCCTTTCTCTCTCTCTGTGTGTTCTCATGAATAAATAAATAAAATCTTAAAAAAAAAAAAAACTTTTAAAGAGCAGTTCACCGGCAGTCGGGTGGCTCAGCGGTTAGCGCCGCCTGCAGCCCAGGGCCTGATCCTGGAGACCCAGGATCGAGTCCCACGTCGCGCTCCCTGCATGGAGCCTACTTCTCCCTCTGCCTGGGTCTCTGCCTCTGTGTGTGTGTGTGTGTGTGTGTGTGTGTGTCTATCATGAATAAATAAATAAAATCTTTTTTAAAAAAAACTTTTAAAGAGCAGTTCGCGGGCAGTCGGGTGGCTCAGCGGTTAGCGCCTCCTGCAGCCCAGGCCGTGACCCTGGAGACCCAGGATCGAGTCCCACGTCGGGCTCCCCGCGTGGAGCCTGCTTCTCTCTCTCTGTTTCTCATGCATAAATAAATAAAACCTTTAAAAATAAAATAAAACGGAAAAGGCTTAAAGCATTGCTCGGGTTGTTTCTGGAGCCTCGCCGCTTACGTGGGCCGGTGAGGAGGGGCCCTGGCCCGGCGCTGGTCCCCGTCCAGTCCTGCGGGACGCCGGAGGATCAGCCTCACCGATGCCCCCGCGGACGCCGAGGCCCCACGAGGAGGAACTCGCACGGAGCGACCGGCGGCGTCACCCCGGGAGGCTCCCGAGCGGTGCCTGGAGCAGGGCCGCCCAGCCCGCGCCCGGGGACCGCGCAGGGCGAACCTCTCTCGGAGACAAGCTGGCTCCCCTGCAAGGCTCTGGCCCGGCCACCGGCTCCCACCAGGCAGCAGCAAGAACCGCGCGGGGGGCTCCGCGTCGCGCCCACGTCCCTCCCGGGGAAGCACCAGCCGCGGGACCGAGCAGCCAGCGAGCTCTGCAAACCGCCCCGAGAGGAGAGGGCACGGCCCCCGCGCCCGGCGCATCCTGGAACTTGTATTCCTGCAGCTCCGCGAGCGGCCACTCTGGAGCACAGGAGAGACTACAATTCCCTACATGCCTGGCGACGAGCCCCGCCCCCTCTACGCGTTAAGGGCGGGCCCGCTCCGAGCTGAACGCGACTTTCCCCAGGCCCCTCCAGCTTCCGGGGATGAAGCGATGCCCGAGAGGCCGCGGCGGCCGGACTCACCCGGTAGTTGTGATAGTGCGTTTCCACCAGATGCCGGTGGCGCGACTTGTCGTGGCCGAAGTTGGATTTCTCGCAGACCAGCAAGTGCCGGGGAACCTCTCGCAGCCGGCGTAGGGTGGCCATGCTCTCCGCGGCTCCGGCGCTGGGCGGGCCCGGCGGGCCCCGCCCCTCCTCGGCTCCCCGCCCTTTACCGTCATTCCGCCCCGCCCCTCCTCGGCGCTGCGCCCCGCCCTTCCTTGGCACTCCGCCCCCTCCTCGTCACTCCGCCCCTTCCTGTCGCCCCGCCCCTCATCGTCACTCCGTCCCGCCCCTCCCTGTCGCCCCGCCCCCCTCTGTCGCCCCGCCCCCTCATCGTCACTCCGCCCCTCCTCACCACCACCGCCCCGCCCCTTGGGCATGCGCAGTTCTGCGGCGCCGAGCGGGCTGGGGCTGCCTGCGCTCGGTGATGGGCTGGAGCTGAGGCCGGGCCTGGGTGCGGGAACCTCAGCAGAAGCTCGCCCGCCGGTACCTGCAGCCGCATATTCATCACCTAAAATGGAAACACCTGGCGCGAGGAAAGCCGGAACTTGCCTTCTCAAACCCGTCTTTCTCCCCTTGCCCCCCTCCTCCCTTGCGTCTGTCTCTGGCCGAGCATCCTCCTCCCCCTGGTCCTTCCCCAAAAGTTAAGGAACTCTGCGCAGGAGGAGACCTCACCGTTGCCTTTTCCTGCCCTACAGTACGACTCCTTCGGCGCCACTTTAAGATCCTTTCTTTAAAAATCCCATCAGAACGGCTTTTAAAAATGTGTTGCTGTTGGGGGTTGCGGAGAAAATTCATTTTTCCATGACTTTTCCAATCAGGTACCGCATTGGTGCAAAATTCATTTTTCCATGACTTTTCCAATCAGGTACCGCATTGGTGCAAAATTCATTTTTCCATGACTTTTCCAATCAGGTACCGCATTGGTGCAGGCTTCCCAAAGCGTGTGCCCAGGCCCAGTTCTGTGCAGAGAGGATGCGGAACAGCAGGCTGATAGGACTTTCTGGAGCTTCAGTTTTACTATGAGATTTGCAACAGCTGAAGTTAAGCAATTTACAAGGTAAGTATTTAAAAATTTTAAACTTGAGACAAGGCTGGAAAGTCCATCTGCCCATTAATGTCAGTGACCTGTGCCTGAAATGTCAGACTATCTGAGAAAACCATGAAAAACACTTTTCCCCGTATTTACTTTTAAGGATTTTATTTATTTATTCATGAGAGACACACAGAGAGAGGCAGAGACACAGGCAGAGGGGCCCGACGTGGGACCCATCCCAGGACCCCCGGCGTCACGCCCTGAGCCAAAGACGGATGCTCAACTGCTGAGCCACCCAGGTGCCCTTCCCCTTATTTTAAACAGGAAAAATTATAGGGAATAGCAGGTGAATTAAAAAATTCTACCAATTTTCTAAGTCCTGGTATGGCACCTCGATATGTAACCACTGTCCTTTTAGGAGATCAGATGTTTAAAACACCAATTTTTGGTCACCTCCCATTTAAGCAGCAGTGGCCTCTCTTCAAACACCCTCAGATGTCTACACCTTTGCTGACACTCCAGAATTTGCACAGTGACCAGTGTGATTTTAGGGTCTGCCACTTGTATTTGGAATCCAGGTGAATGTTTTCTTGCAAGCCATGTAGTTTAAAATGTCTTAAGTTTTGGAAACTCAGTATAAATTGTATCAGCTAAAAAGAGACAGATGAAGGGCCACTAGGCAGTCTGCTTACTCATGACTCCACTGTTCTTCCAGGGAAACAGTACTCGAGGACCTGTTCTGTGGGGTGTGCCTGTAGCATGAAATAGAAGGCAAAAATCTCATTTATTTTAAGGACTAAAGCTGTAATTTCCAGCAAAGCTGGGACTGAAGAGTCCTCAGGCCTCCATCCCCGGTGCTCTGGGGCTCTGTCGGTAAAGGATTCATCATTTCTCCCTGCCTCCAGCTCATCTCTCAGCATATACACAAGCCTCAATGTGCGTTAAGCAGAACACCTCCTTTGACCCCATATTCCTCTGCATTCTCACCATTGTGTTTCTCTGCTCCGTGAGAGCCACTTCGCACCTCTCCTGAACCCATTCCATTCTCGCTTTACTCCACATGACTTCACGGACTTGACTTTTGTCGAGGTCGCCAGTGATCTCCATTTTGCCAAATTCAAGGCCACATTTGTGTTCGCTCAGTCTTTAGATGCGCTTGACACAGAAGATGCAGTTGAGACTTCTTCCTTGTATTAATTGTGTTCTCTTCTGTTCTCTGTTCCTGTTCTCTGATGCTCTGGTACCTGGGGCCTCGTGGACCAGGGTGGGACTGCCCCTTCCAGGGTTAGCTAACTCCTACACACGGCAAATTACTTGTGCAGTGAGCATGCCTTTCATTTGCCAACCTGGAGTTTACAACCTGAAACACTCCAGGCTCCTAATACCCCAGGGCCAGGTGCTAGACACCTGGGGGCAGGCCCTGTACTCCAGAGCCCATGGAAACTATTCAAACTAGCCATTCCTCAACCTACTTAGTCTCTTTACCCCGCCTCACCCCTTCCTTCCCAGAATAAAAGCTCTGACAGATGCTCTCCCCTCACGCCCCCTGTGTCCTGACCAACCTAGACACGCTCGTCCTTGTGGCTCTGTGGCCTGCCATTCCTCCTGATTCTAGGGAACCGTGAGCAAAATCTCTTCTTTTATGACAGTCGTTTCTGTGCACGCTTGCCATACCTGTTAGAACAAATCCCTGAGCACATTTGAAAAAGTCCTTGATACACTTCCCTCTGGAGTTCTCAGAACCTCCCTGCTCCTGGACTCCATCCCCCTGACCTTGCTCTGTCTTCTTCCTCCTCCAGATCTCTTCCGCCCTTCTCTTTCCTGCCCTCTCTTCCCAGAGTGATCCCGCATGGTCTCACAGATTTCAGTACCATCTATCTGCTAAAAACCACCAGGCCTGGGTCCTCATCCCTGGGGGGCGGGGGGCACCCGGGGGGGGGCACCCAGGTGTCATTCCTGACTCTTCTTCCCTTCTTACTCTATGTTGGATCCCACCACAAGTCTCTGGCTTGTTAGCTCTGCCTGCAACAGGCATCCTGGTTACAGGCTCTTCTGTCTCCATTTCTCCACTTTCCCCTCAGTCGGCTGCCAAATACAGGCTCCTAACCACCTCCCTGTTCCCTGTCTTGCCCTCCTGCAGTCTGTTCTCTACTCACTCAGCATCCAGGCTGATTTCCCAAAAACATGAAAAATGTGATACAGACATAGCTCATTTTATTGTACTTTATTTTACCTCGCTTTGCAGACCCTGCATTTTTAATCAATTGAAGTTCTGTGGCAGCCCTGTGTGGAGGAGGTCGATTGGTGCTATTCTTCAACCACACCTGGTCCCTTTGTGTATCTGTGTCATATTTTGGTAATTCTTACAGTATTTCTAACTTTTTCATTATTCTATTTGTTATGGTGACCTGTCATCAGTGATCACAACTCTGAAAGCTCAGAGGATGGTTAGCATTTTTTGGCAATAAACAACTTTTTAATCAAGGTATACTTCTTTTCGACATAATGCTATTGCAAACTTAATAGATTATAGTATAGTGTAAGCATAGTTGTTTTTTTTTTTTTATTTTATTTGAGAGAGAAAGAGAGCATGAGCAGGGAGAAGGAGAGGAAAGAATCTCAAACAGACTCCTCACTGAGTGTGGAGCCCGACACCAGGCTCGATCTCATGACTCTGTGATCTGACCAAGAGTTAGATGCTTAACCGACTGAGCCCCTCAGGTGCCCCATAACTTATATATGCACTGGGAAACCGAGAAATTTGTTTGACTCACTTTATCAAGTATTCACTTTATTGTGGTTCACTGGAATCAAACCCACGATATCTCTGAGGTAGGTCTGTATATGCTACCCACCCCTTGTTTAAACCCTACCTGGCTTTAAACTGGCTTTTCACTGCAGTAGAATAAAAGCCTAGCTAACCTGGCCCCTGCCTTCCTCTGCAGCCTCATCTCCTACCTTGTTTGTTCATACTATTATTTGTCTGACTTTCTGGTATCTAGAGCTGAAAGCAGTCTTAATTGACAAACAGATATTAGATCATCAATTCAAGAGCATAACAAAAGTGTCTAAGGATGATGGGGCAGGAATGGCAGAAAGGAAAGAAAGAGAGAGAGAGAAAGAGAAAGAAAGAAAGAAAGAAAGAAAGAAAGAAAGAAAGAAAGAAAGAAAGAAAGAAAGAAAGAAAAGACAAAAGAAAGAAAAGAAAAAAAGAAAGAAAGAAGGAAGGGAAAGAAGAAAAAGAAAATGGAAGGATGGGGCAGCCCCGGTGGCACAGCGGTTTGGCGCCGCCTGTGGCCCGGGGTATTATCCTGGAGACCCGGGATCGAGTCCCACGTCGGGCTTCCTGCATGGAGCCTGCTTCTCCCTCTGCCTGTGTCTCTGCCTCTCTCTCGCTCTCTCTGAATAAATAAATAAATAAATCTTAAAAAAAAAAAAGAAAATGGAAGGAAGGAAGGAAAGAAAGAAAACGAAAGGAAGGAAGGAAGGAAAGAAAGAAGGAAAGAAAAGAAAGGAGAAAGAGAAAAAGGAAGAAGGAAAGAGAGAAAAGAGAAGCACAGGAAATAAAACATAACTGATTTGTATATATACACCCAAAAGAATGTAGTAGCAAATGAATTTTTTTTAAAAGCCAACCCAGCAGCCTTGCCAAAAAAACAAACAAACAAAAAAACAAAAACAAAAAACAAAAAAACACCACCACAACAAAAAACCTTTGACTAGATTCTAACAAGACAAAAATATACTTAGTATATCTAAAAGGACAACAATTTTATACATCATATTTTGGGGGCTACCATGCAATAAAATTAGAAGCACAGAAACAAATATGCTCAACTCTAAAAATTGTTAGAATATTATTATATATAAATTAATGCCTAGGTTAGTGTGCAAGTTCAAAACACAAATATAGTACCTATAAATATACAGTTGACCCTCGTAAAAGACAGGGAAGTTAGAATGCTGACACCCCCTATCTCCTGCAGGCAGAAATCTGCATATAACTTTTGACTCCCCCTGAACTTAATTACTAATAGCCTATTGTTGACTGGAAGCCTTACTGATCACATAAACAATAAGTTAACACATAGTTTATACATGTGTTATATACTGTATTCTTACAATAAAGGAAACTAGAGGAAAAAATGTTAAAATAATGAAGGAAAATACATTTGCAGTACCGTAAAGCATTCACGAATAAGTGAACCCACACGCTTCAAACCCCATTATTATTCAACCGTGCATGTAAATACAGTGAATCTATATTGGTGAACAGAGCGAGCTCTCCAGCTCAAGCTCCAGGGGCCGTTCATCAGGATGCAGTGCCAACCTGGATTCAGTTAGCATCATCCCACTATGGGTGGGAGCAAGAAGAAAGGTGGTCCTGGGAACTGTAACTGTTGAAGACACTGCTAATAAATCAGAGGCCTCCCTCCTGCCAAGCCTAAACTTGACCTCAGTCCTCCAGGCAGCTGCCACAAATGGACAGGTGTTGGCGTACAAGATCAGAACTACCCTCTGGGGGCACCTGGAGGGCTCGGTGTTGAGCTTCTGCCTTTGGCTCAGGTCGTGATCCTGGGGTCCTGGGATCGAGTCCCGCATCAGGCTTCCCACAGGGAGCCTGCGTCTCCCTCTGCCTGTGTCTTGCCTCTCTCTGTGTGTGTCTCTTATGAATAAATAAATAAAAATAAATAAAAAAACCTCTGATGGCAGGCAGCAGGGGAACTGGGTCCAGTGGCTGCAGTGGGAACCATCAGTGCCCCCCCCCCCCGAGAAGGATGTGTTATCCCCTCCAAGAGAGGACTTGCATCGCTGGGGGATAGACTCAGAGCCAGATGGCTTGGCCTCCTCTCCTCTGACCGGTTGGGAATGGGTGGAGCCCGGGAACATGTTAACAAGGGCAGCTATGTGGACTGTGTCTAGGTGTCCCAGTGGAAGTGTACAAATGAAGGAGTATTTTAAAAACAGAACACAATGTTATATGTCAATTAAATCTCAATAAAGCTGGGGGAAAAAGAACACAAAACAGTCACACCGTATGACTAAAGCTCTGTCACATATGTTCAAATAAAAAATTTTGGAAGGGAATTTGGGAATGGTTGACATTTTTTATAAAGCTCATTCTTTTGTTTAAAGTAAAAAAACATATGTTTAGAAGTAAATTGGTACATAAATTTAAATCTTAGCTTCCCAGAGACTTTAGATATCTAGAATGAGGCATTTCTGTGTACCTGGAATTTACTATAATGTGAAAACTATTAATCCATAATGCAGTTGATGAAATAATATACATTGACAGAGAAAGGAGGGGTGCGTGGGTGGCTCAGTGGTTGAGCTTCTGCCTTTGGCTCAGGGTGTGATCCCGGGGTTCTGGGATCGAGTCCCGCATCGGGCTGCTTCTGTGTCTCTGCCTCTCTCTGTGTTTCTCATGAATAAATAAATAAATAAAATCTTTAAAAAAAACAGAGAAAGGAGCAATCTCTAACTTTATATATAGTTATCAATAATTGTGTAATAATATATATACTACATATGCGATACTGAACCTCTATAACGAATCAGGCAGTACTGCAAGCACTTTACATTAATTATCTCACAAGAATCCTCTCTGAGGTGGGTTTTCATATCTTCATCTTAGAGGCTAATTAGTAAACAATGCATAGAATCGAGTAAGAAATCTTAAAATGTGAAAGACTCAAAAAACACAATGTTGAAAGAGAAATGGAGGTTACATATGTATAGTTGGCACATACTTTGCAGAAAGCTTAGAAACTTGCAAAGTTAAACAATATACTACTTAGAGGTACATATGTAGCAAAACTATAGTGAAAATGGAATAATAATTTTTAGAAATTTCAGACGAATTACTACCTAGGAGGGGAGGTAAAGAGTTGTATTTGGGAAGGGCCATGCAGATGGCGTCAAAAGTAGTAGTAACATTTTATTAAGCAGGTAACAGGTACAGAATGTTTGTCTTTATACCATATAATTTCCTATGTGTAAAATAGTTCATAATTTGTAAGAATTTTATTTTAAAGATTTTATTTACTTATTCATGAGAGATGCACACAGAGAGGCAGAGGCCCAGGCAGAGGGAGAAACAGGCTCCATGCAGGGAGCCCGACGTGAGACTCGATCCCAGGACTCCAGGATCACGCCCTGGTCCCAAGGCAGGTGCTAAACTGCTGAGCCACCCAGTGATCCCCGATAATTTGTAAGAATTTTAAACCACTTTATTGAGATACAATTCACGTCCTGTATAATCCACTCATTTAAAGTGTATAATTTAATGGTGTTTATGCACAGATGTGTGTGTAACTGGCACAAGTCAATTTTGGATCATTTTCATCACCTCAAAAAGAAATTCCCTGTAGCTGTCACCCCGGTACCCTCCCACCTGCCTTCCCTAGCTCTATGCATCCATTAATCTTCTTTCCATCTTTCTAGATTGGTCTTTTCTGGACAGTTCATATAAATGGAATCTTATAATATTTAGACTAATATATATTTAGATAATATAGTAGACTATAATATACTAGACTTGCGACTGGCTTCTTTCACGCTGCATAATGTTCTCAAGGTTCGTCCAAGTTGTAGCACGGGTCCCTTCTTCCTTCCCTGGTACAGCTGGCACAATAAAGTAAAAATTTGTCTTGAATGCTAGTGCTTGGGGAGAAATAGCTTAATTAGAAAGAAATGAGGACAATGAAGATTTCTCTGCAGATTCTAAAGGATCTTAAACTACTTCCAGGATCTCCAGAAGTGGATGGCACTGGTTCTTGTTCTAGACCCTGACTTCATTTTTTCCCTCCCAGTCTGTGGAATACTAAGCTGTGGGGTGAGTGATTCCCAAGTGAATGTGGGGCAAAGTGATATAAGAGTTCTTTGATGAGGAAAAGCAGACAAGAACTGCTGGCAGAGGTATAGCAGGAGGGGTGGGGAGGGAAGGAGGGAGGAATAGGGGGCAGAGCTGCTCACAGGAAGGGAACCCAGCTGTGAGCAGAGGAATGCAGAATAAAAGGCAGAAGTACCCCTGGGACAGATTGAAGGGAGATGGTGATGAGGTAAGAACTTTGGGTGAGAGAAGTCCCCAAGTTCTCTGGAGACCCTGCCCTGGAGCTGGGGAGCAGGGCATGGCTAAATCCCAGGAAGGATGGGGAGGAAGGGGGGCATCTCATCCACAGCACCAGGTGTGAACTTGGCCTCCATGAGCATTGGAAGTATTCATTTATCAAATCAACAAGCTCTTAATTAAGCTCCCGCTGTGCTAAGCTAAGCCCCAGAGAGACTTTCTCTCTGCCCCAGCTTTGGGGGACTTGCCATGTCACGGGAACGATATTGATTATTTCTTTTCCATCTCCCCACAGTTCCTGGAAGAGTATTCTTCGTAGAATGGGCAATTTTGCAATTATTGTTAGTAATTGAAGAAAGGAAGCTTTTCACATTCAACTCAGAATTTCACATTCAGAGTTTCTATGAAAATGCAATATGTTAGATGTAGAACTATATATCTTTGGCTTTAAAGTTAACAAAGAAAATGAAAAAAAAAGTAATTTTATAATATTAAATGTCCACATTGATGTCAATGGGATTTTTTTTTTTCTCAGAGAGTCTCTACACTTAGGAACTTAAGCAGTTGACAGAGGGGGTGAGGAAAAATACGTAATAAGTGGCACATGCTTTATCATTTCCCTGCATCTCATGGTACTGTGATGATTAATATATACGTGGATTTATGGCTCTGAAAGTTCTTCAGGGCACATCTGCTTACAATTAAAATGTGGATTTCATCTTTATTCCTTTCGAATTCAGTTGGATCCCCCAGTAGCCCTGGAAGGACTGCTGCATGGAGGCTGGGCTTCTCTCCTTGAAAATGTTTATTGGAAAATAAAAATAAGTTGCCTTGCATCAACTAACGGCCATAAGAGCATGCTTGCTTTCATTGAAGAGCGTTAGTATTTAGTGTTTTTGTGGAGATTTGCTCTCTTTGTAGCATCCCAGCCCTGTGTGGATTCGGCACACGGTCCCATTTCTATACCAGTGATGGCACTGGGGACTGTCACAGTCTAATACTTGGTATGGACCAAGTCCTGGGAACGTACTGGAATTCTTGGAAGCCATGTCCCTCTTTGGTAATGCACATGCCTGTGAAAGTTAGCTGCGGTGTGATTCTAGACTCAATCCATCTTGTCCTTTTTCCCAGCTGTGGCGGGCAATTGGCATTTCTGATATTAGAAACTAAAAATGTAAAACACAGAAAGAAAAAAAAGAAAGAAAAAAGAAAAGTCCTCTGGCTTGTGAGAGCATCAACCTGCACTTCAGCCTTATTCCTTAATCACCCTGGAGGAAGGGAATCTGTGAAACGTGGAAATATCTGGACCTAGAGCCAATCCGCGAGAAGCTAAATAGTAAAGACGTGGAGCCGAGGAGAGTGTCTTTGCCCTGCTTCTGCAATCCCCGTGCAAAATAATTACCAAGCACGATGTTGAAACGAATGCTTTTTATGAATATAAACCTTAAAATCAAAGCCTTATTAAATCCCTTATTCACAAATGGGGACAGTAAAATGCCAGATTCTTTTAAAACTTCAGATTTTCTAACCTTCCTGGCTTCTGCTCTTCCGAGGAAGCACTCTGAGCTTTGAAAAGGAGGCAGTCCTCTCGGACAGGAATGTCCAGTAGAACAGGAGGTGAGCCACGTCTGTAGTTTTATATTTTCAGCAACGTTACAGCAAATAAAAAGAAACAGGTGAAACTGACTGTAATACTATTAACTTATTTAGTCTAATGTATGTAAAATATTATCTTAAGGTGTAATCAACAGAAAAGTTTTGATGAAATATTTTCCCTTTTTTTTGTATTAAATCTTTGAAATTCACTCTATTTTGCACTTTTCAGCACCTCATAACTTAGAGGAGCCACAGTCTAGGTGCTGAGTGCTCATGTTGAAAGGCTGCCCCCCTGGAAGGGTGACTCTTCTCGACCTCAGGGAGGTGACTTGCCTGAACATCCCCTTCTCTTCCAGAGGTGTCACCCCTTCCCTGCCAACCTCTCTCCTTGGCCCAAGGTGAGAAGAGATGGTGCCCTGAGAAGAAGTTTCCCAAAGTAGACCACAGCTTCCCAATTGCTTCTTGGGGGGTCCATTCCCCCTTCAGACAGTGTGGAGAGGAAGGTGGGGAATTCTGTGTCTTCAGATCTATCTTCAGCCTTGGCCTCCAGAGTTTAGATTTGGAGGGAATAAAAGGAAACTCTTATTTTGCAATCTGGCCTTGAGCCCTAGTGGTCAGGCTCTGGTCACCTATTCCCTCTTGCAGTGTGGGGTTTTGTGTGAGTTTAAGCACCAATCACGTACATCTGCATCTACATATGTATTTCTGTTTAACTCAAGAGATGCAACTTTCTATAAAGGAAGAAGGAAATCAGCACCTATAGGATTTGCCTACTGTTTGCCAAGTAACTTATAATTAATACATCATTGCATCGTGACATCTTATCTGCAACTGGTGTATTAGTTAGCTATTGTGTAACAACCCACCCCAGTACTTACCTAGCTCATGACTGAGCTGGTCAGCAGCTTAGGCTGGGCTCAGCAGGACCGGTCTGGTGTCTGCTCTGCTCCTCCATGCATGTGTGGTCAGCTGCTGGTTGACCAGGGGGCTCTGCTGCTGAAGGGTGAGTTGACTGTCAAGGGGGCACCGTGGTTCTCTTCCTCCTGGCATCTCATCCTCCAGCTAAGGCTGGACTTGGAGCCTCTCCAAGGCTAACATGGACTTGGAGACAGCTGTATTCTGAAAGGAAAAACAGAAGCATCTAAGACTGGCCGACTGTCATGGTCCCACTGCATTCTCTTGGCCAGAGCAAGTAAGACCAGATCTGATGCAAAGTTTGGATGAAGAGAGTCTGCCTCTGAAAGGGAGCAGCTGTAAAATCTCATTGCAGAGGGCGTGCGCTGCCAGGAAGAATGAATTGCTGCTGTTTTTGTAATCAGTACCCTTATGCCTCTTCTTGCAAGAGGTTTATACAACTGTCGTCCAAAGAAGTCTGTCCAAAGCCCCAGAGCTACTAAGTGGCTGGGCTGGGACCCTCCTGACTCCACCTGACTGCAGAACTCCCCTGACTCCACTAGTTCATACTGCTCCTGCAGCTTCCCTAGTCATCAGAGGTTCTAGAAAGTGAGACTTCTGCAATAGAAGCAGAATTCCTTTGAGATCGGCATCCATCTCATACTCTTCACATGGGGAGTAATCCCCTTCAGAGAATGCTGAGTGTCTTGGAAAGACTTGGGATAATTTAGGAAAATGGCTGAGGCCTGAGTTTAGGAAATCAAGTCTTCAGCAATACAGTTTTCCTTTCTAATCATAGGAGAAATTTGAAAACACGTATAATGCACTCCACATGTTTGCAAATTCTTTTCATCCCTTTTTGGTATCTGTAGGCCATTAATGATTTTCAACACAGACTAAATCAAACTGCTGTGCCCGGAGCAACCTCCTATTCTGAAAGCAACTGACATAAAGATAGATCTGCTAAGAAGACATTTCCTCCTATTGTAGTTTAGACAAATAGCTGAGTTATCTGAAGTAGTCCTTTGATTTTAACAGGGCAGAGCTGTTTTCTAAAACCCCAGAGCACACACACATCACTTACAGCAGATGCATCCCTGGCCTTGAATCTTATTCAAGGGCTTCTTATTAAGTCAGCAGGGGGGTGGGCAGTGGCTTTTGAAATTCCCAGAACCCAAATTACAGCAGATCAATCAAATCCAAATCCCTGGAGTGGGACCTGGGCATCAGCATTTTTAGAGCTCTTCGGGTGATCACAGTGTCTGACCAAGGCTGAACAGCACTGCTTTAAACCAACATCACTGGGTCAACTAGTTCCAAATAGTTGATTAAATAAAGTGTAAAAATGTTTGCTGGTGAGTGTAACCTTTCAGTCTTATCTACCATCACCTGCTCACTCTCCCGTGCACAAACAAGCCTCTCGTACTAGGTTGGTTCCCGTCCACACAGCTACACGAGTATGGTGTATACCACGTGCAAGGCACTGCACTAGGTGTCCTGGTGCTTGTAAACATCTTTGGAAATGAGGACTTCTCTAGAAAAAAAAAAATGCATCATAAAAAATCAAAACCATGTGACTTACCAAATTGAAGCAAAAATGGAAAGACCCTAGGAACTCACCCAAGGTTTAGGACAGTAATACTGTGGAATATTAAAATCCACCTGACGATGCCCTGAGCAAACATGTTGTACTTTAACACAAAACACAACAAAATGCTGCTGTTATTTTGAGATACAGAGTTAGGATTTTTATGCAAATATGTAGTATTTAAATTTTAACTAACATAAGGGCACTGGGTGGCTCAGGAGGTTAAGTGTCAGCATCTGACTCAGGTCATGATCCCAGGGTCCTGGGATGGAACCTGAGTAGGACTCCAGTAGGGTTTCTCCCCTGCCCCTCCCCGAGCTCAGGCGCTCGCTCGCTCTCTCTCTCTCTCTCTCTCCCCCTCTCTCCCTCTCTCTCTCTCTCCCTCTCTCTCAAATAAGTCCTAAAAATAATTGTTTAATTGACATATGCATACAGAAATATATGCAGACACAATTCATGTAAAGCTCAGTGTATTATTACAGACTGAATACACTTGTATAACCAAGAGCTTGAACCAGCTTTGCTCAGGCTCCCTGACAATCACTCTCCCCTTCCCTCTGTCACAAAGGTAACCGATGTCTTTTTTTTTTTTTAAGATTTTATGTATTTATTCATGAGAGACACACAGAGAGAGACAGAGACATAGGAAGAGGGTGGAGAAGCAGGCTCCCTGCAGGGAACCCAACACGGGACTTGATCCCGGGACCCTAGGATCATGCCCTGAGCCAAGGCAGACGCTCAACCTCTGAGCCACTCAGGCGTCCCACAAAGGTAACTGACGTCTTAAACGGCTAACACTGCAGATTAAATAAAGATCACTGCAAAAATCTCTCATGCTGTTGCTTTGTACTCAACTCCTCCCCCCACCTTATCCCTTGGCAACCACTGATTGTTTTTCATCCCTATAATTTTTCCTTTTCTAGAATGTCATGTAAATAGAATCATATGATATATAGCTCTTGGTGTCTGACTTCGCTTAGAGAAATGCATTTAAGATACATGTTTGTCCTTGTGTGAATCAATACTTTGCTCCTTTTGTTGCCAAGTAGCATCCTACTGTATGGATGCGCCATAGTTACTTATTCACTCACCTGTTGAAGACCACTTGGTTTATTTTTATTTATTTTTATTTTTATTTTTATTTTTTTTTTTGACCACTTGGTTTATTTCCAGCTTTTTGGCAGTTATGACTAAAGTAGCTCTAAATATTCACACACAAGTTTCTAACATTAGTTTTCAATTTACTTCACTAAATACGTAAGAGTGGAACAGCTAGGTCGCCTAATGTTTAACTTTACAAAAAACTGCTAAATTATTTTCCAAACACTGTACCATTTTGCATTTCCAGTTCTAGGCATTCCAGAGTCTCTCAGAAGTACTGCTATTTGCAATTATTTTTATTTTAGCCATTTCTAATAGGTATGTGGCTTCAGCTTCATTTTGAATTAGAGTTTTGCTGAGTGAATGTGGAATCCTGTGTTGACATGGACTTTTTCCCCTGCACTCTAAAGATATCATTTCATTGTTAATTTGTCTCTCATTCTCTGTGATATATCATCCATCATTCATATTATTATCCCCTGTATGTAATGTGGTGTCCTTCCCTGGTTGCTTTCAAGATTTTCTTAGAATATTTGGATTTTTGCAGTTGGACTATGATGTGCCTAGGTTTAGTTTTATTTGTATTTTCTTTTGTGTGTTTTAAGTTCTTGATTTAAAAATTTAGGTTTCCTACAAAAT